TTTCTCTTCTCTTCTCTTCTCTTCTCTTCTCTTCTCTTCTCTTCTCTTCTCTTCTCTTCTCTCTCCAGCTCCAGGCTAGAGGAAAGATTTGCCTAGAACAACAAACTCTGGAGCAAGCTGGGGGTTAAGCAGGAGACTGGTATTTAGTGTGTGCAGAGCTAGGGCAAAGAAGGGTGTGAAGGACCTAGTCCTGAAGACAACATAGGGGCACTGGCCAGTTCTATGTGGGCAAGATTTAGAGGAAGGAAGATCCAGAACACAAGCTAGGTGACAGGAGACCTGGCCACCTTCATGTGCCATCACCTGGGCTCCATAGGTCAAAGAAGATGAAGTCACCATTCAAAGGTCTCAGTCTATCACATCTCTGGTTTCCAAGAGTTGTAAACAGACCCAGCACCTCTACTCCACCCCACAAGTACCCATGAGTCATGAAATTCAGCCTAATAAAGCCTTTTCTCATAGTCACTGACCATGTCTGTCAACCTCACAAGCCTCAGCCTCTCCAGGTAAAGAGCACCCCCAGGGATACCCACAGACCAGCCAACAGCCCTTCTCTACCTTTGAGTGCAGTATCCACATGGAAGCATCCACAACAGTAGCTAGGAACCCATCCATAGTGTTCCTATACATGGCCTCAAGGATGGTAACTTTGGGGCACTCAGGGCCATGGCCCAGGCTCCTGTGTTGACCCAGCCCAAGGAAATCCTGACTTGAGAGAAAAATTCATAAAAGAAGATAGTCTGTGGTGTCAGGAGATGGCCTTGTACTCTGGACAGCAGTAGGCAAAGCCTCAATGGACAGCCACACACATCCCCAGGCTGAAAACACACAGAACGTCCTATCGGCAAGTCCCTGCGGATGAACTACCCCCATGATCATACTGGCTGATCATCCTAGACACAGCACCGCTGCAAAAGCACAGCTAGAGAGAGAGCCCTGTTATCCATGAATGGGACTAAACAGGTCAGGATACACATCCAGCTTAGGAAGAAAGTATGACAGTCCAGGAGCAGAGAGAAGCTCTTGGCACCCAGTAGTTTCCCTGAGCACCACAGGGAAGGGGCCAGGGGCCAATGTAGAAACAAATACCATTCTCCACAGCCTCTCATAGCTGGCAAAAGACAAAAATAAGTTGGGTCATCTGTGGTCAAGGTTCTGTTTCACATGAGGACTGCACATGAAGATGCATAGTCCTCCAGCCCCTTGTTCATACAAGGACACACACAGACTCCTGCCCCTCTCAGACATATTGCAGAGCCAACCTCAGAAACTGCCTGCAGGCAGACATGGGCTCACACACATATGCAATGCATACACCATGTGCTGCTCAGAAGTAAGCCTGAGACCCACCCAAAACCATATACACAGACAAGGATATATGGTCCCTAATGCCCACAGGCAGTAGCACAAATATCCTCAGAGTCCAGAACTCCCAACACCCAGGCACACAGATGCACAAAGACACACACACATCCCTCAGCTACACACAAGGGAGTTGACTGGGTGAGTAGTAACTTGCAAGATGCTAGAATACAAAGGGGTACAGTGGCAGGAAAGGGGGCATTGTAAAAAGAAAACAATCTTAGAACACCACTGCAGGCACTGTAGTACATCACTAGGGGGGCACTTGCCTCTAGGAGGTCCACGTCAGAAAGTGAGACCCGCCTCCTCCTTCTTCCCCACCCACCTGCTCCTTTTCTCCCTCCCTGCTCATCAGCACTGTTAGCAGGCTGAGCTGGGAATCGTGCTGGGAAGCCAGCAAGCTGAGGCACCAGGACAGGTCTTAGAAGATCTCCTTCCAACTGGCCAGGATCGACTGCAACCTCTTCTGGAAGTCTGTTGTAAGGGTCACACCTCCCCCTCCATCCCCCAGCTGGGAGCTCACCAAAGCCATCAACTTCTGGCCACAAGGCACTGGACAGGTCAGTGAAGTATCTGGGTAAGCAGGGGTCTGTGTAGCACTAAGGGGGTTGAGGACTTGACTCATGGAGGAAGTCAAGTCCTGGAGGGAACAAAGAAGCATCTGAAGGTGCATCTACAAATAGGTAAATAGCCTTGCTTCTGCTTACTGTATACTGGGGGTAGTGGATGGGGACTACTATGGGCCACTACTAACCTTGGTCTCCAAAGAGAATGTATAGCTGCCCTCACAGGAGTAGGCCTGGGAAACAGGGCTGCATCCAGAAGGCTGGAGCAGACCTCTGTGCCTCACTAGGTTCTCTCTGGCCATAGGCCAGAGTGGATAAAGTGACCTCAGAGAACTTGAGGCGGCTACTGTTTTTGCAGCCATATTCCAACATTCCTGACTTTCTTTCCCAGAAACAAACCCAGGATGCCCCTGCTCAAATACCAGCCTCCAACTCCTCACCCCCACCCCCACCCCACAATGCAGGTTGCTGGGTGCCCAGAATTCTCCAACAGCAGAGGCTACTGCTTCCCCACTACCATGGACACCAACTTGTCCCAGGACAATGGTACTCAGCTCAACACCACCTTCCCTGAGCCACTGCCTATGCTCCATATACTCCTGCCAACTGTGTACTCCATGATCTGTGTGGTGGGACTGACTGGCAACTCGGCTGTCATTTATGTGATCCTGAGGGCACCCAAGATGAAGACAGTGACCAATGTGTTTGTCCTGAATCTAGCCATCGCTGATGTGCTCTTTGTGCTTGTGCTCCCAGCCAACATTGCTGAGCACCTGCTGCAGCGCTGGCCCTTTGGGGAGTCATTCTGTAAACTGGTGCTGACCATTGACCACTACAACATCTTCTCCAGCATCTACTTCCTGGCTGTGATGAGTGTGGACCGCTACCTGGTGGTGCTGGCCACTGTGCAATCTCGCCGACTGTCCAGGCGCACCCAGCGAGGGGCAAAGGTTGCCAGCCTATGTGTCTGGCTGGGTGTCACCATCATAGTCCTGCCCTTCTTCTCCTTTGCCCGAGTCTACAGCAATGAGTTACAGGTACCCAGCTGTGGGTTGAGTTTCCCAAGGCCTGAGTGGGCCTGGTTCCAAGCCAGCCGCATCTACACATTTGTTCTGGGCTTTGCAGTGCCTGTGTCTACAATCTGCGTGTTATATGTAGACCTGCTGCGTAGGCTGCGTTCCATGAGGCTCCACTCTGGTGCCAAGGCTCTAGGCAAGGCCAAGCGGAAGGTGACTGTCCTGGTCCTCACTGTGCTAGCTGTATGCCTTCTCTGCTGGACGCCCTTCCACCTGGCCTCTGTGGTGGCCCTGACCACAGACATGCCCCAGACATCCCTGGTCATTGGCATCTCTTATGCCATCACCAGCCTCAGCTATGCCAATTCATGCCTCAACCCCTTCCTGTATGCATTCCTGGATGACAACTTCCGCAAGAATTTCCGCACCACAGTCCTGTGTCAGGAGGCCTGAGCATCCTTGCCATCTCCCCTCCCCTACCAAGAATAGCAGGTGTCCCAACCAAGGTTCATCCTGCTTCTTCACAACCATTCCTGTGTTCACACAGACAGATACAGACAACCACAACACTCCCTTTCTGTAACTCTGTTTAGTCCTAGACAGCCCTGAGAGGACAATAGCAAATACTCGGGTCCTGAGAGCATGCACCCTAAATCTCATCACCTACACAGGATGGAGAGATGGATGACACCTTGGACAATTTCTTATGTGTCCTGGACCAGTGCTATGTTCCACAGTCAGGACTCCCTACAGAGCTTGAAGGCAAAATATGGGCATCTCAGCAGCAAGGTCCAACGTTGCTATGACCCAGGACTCTGATACTCCCAATGTACCTCATGGCACATGCCATCCCCCTGCTTACCACGTACTTCAACTTGCCAGGACACCTGGGCCCTCACCTAACTCTGACAGTACTGGCTCACTTTGCTGCCCACACTTCCAGTCAGCTCCAAATGACTTATACGTTATCCTCCTGATATTCCTTGACCTATTGCTTATTGCTGTGTAACAAAAAACTTAGAAGCTGTGAAGTAAGTGTTTGGCTGCTGAGAGTTTAGAACTGGAGAGTGACTTATTCAGTGGCTCTTTGTTCAGCCTCTCATGGGACTTCAAGCAGAACACTAATGAAGTCTGTGTTCTCTCCTGGCTAGACAAAGGATGGAGGTCCTGGCAGGATGTAGACCACAAGTTGCTGGTGTGTCCTCACAGCAGAACATGAAAGGATCTGAGAGTCAAGAGGAGAATGGGACAGATATATTGTGTGACCTAGTCTCAGAAGCTCCCCTCAGCCCCTTGCACATGATGACTATTAGAAGGAAACTGCTGAGACAGCCTTATACTGACGGCTATGGGTACTTTTTAAACCACCACCTACACACAGCTCTGCCAAAAAGAGCAACCTGAGCTTGGGCCTGTTTCTTCACTGTGCAGTCACACTTCAGCAAAGCCTAATTAGTACTCGCTGCTTCCAGGTGAGAAAACCCCTTCAGGACAAGAGCCCTTTCTGAACAGATACAGTGGAGGCTCCATCTCATTTCCCAGAACTGTGTCCAGATCACAGCAGTGGCAAAACCAGGTGTGTGGCATGATGAACGTGTGAAGGAGAAGCAGAGGATGAGTGGGTGTGAAGAACAGGAAGGGAACACACTGGTGAGTTGATCTGGATTGGAGAGGGCCAGGAACCCTTGGGGATAGCCTCTCTACTGGCTTTAGATTGTCCCCTGGCCCCAGTAGGGCATTTCCACAGCAAAATAGCTACCAACCAAGTTTTCTCTGAAGACTCCAAACCTTAGCCTCGAATGCTCCAGTGCCACAATCATTTAGTGAGCAGTATTTACACCGACCCTTGTCCCTACTCACAACCCAGCAAAGGGAGCAGCCTCCCTCCTCTGTGGCTCCCTGAAGCACCAAGAGAGACCAAGAGACAGGCACAGACAGGGTCAGAGAGACTAAGGATACAACAATTGGTTCTCATCAGGATCCTGCTGGAACTAGCCCTGTTCCTCTTCGTGAACTCCTGATATCTGTGTGGGAGCTTACTCTGCCAAGTCCCTACACTCTGACTCCTGGTCCCGGGAATAGACTAACTTCACTTTAGTACCCAAATCCCACTGTCATTGCCACCATGGCCCCTCAGGAACTCAACTGGGCCTACAGTGGGGCCACAGCACCCCCTAGTGGGAAGAGTCCAAAGTAGTGAGTGAACCCAGGCATTCCTGACACCCCTTGGGTCCCTAAGCTGGCCCTTCACATACTGCCCTTCCCATAACCCCACGAGGAAGACTCTGTAGTTCCCTTTGCACAGAGAAGGAAACTGAGGCTCAGAGATAGAACAGAGTTGGAGGCAAGGCTGGGCTGGGGAGGAAATCAGGAAGGTGCATAGTCCTGGAGAGAGGGAGGTACACTCATCTCTAAGGCCCCTCCTCTAATGGCCAGCCTCCTCAAAAACACTGGCCAGGATATTGGCCCAGGACAAATATCTCACATGGAAGGAGGGTCAGCAGTCTAGGATGTCATGCAATGCCCCTTCATCAGGACTATTCTAACTCCTGGGTACCAAGGTACTGTAAATGTAAGGGAGAGAATTTTCCCTTGATGTTGAATTTCTATTTGAATAGCAATGTGTCTATTAAGAATTTCTTGTGTCTCCCCCCAAATTCACATGTTGAAGTCCTATCCACAGTGTGATGGTGTTAGGAGGTGATTCTGGATGGAAGTAGGTCATGAAGTTGGGACCTCACAGAGGAACTAGTATTCTTACTAAGGGTACATGTGTAGCTCTGAAGTCATCTTTCTATCAAGTGAGGATGCGGTGAGAAGACAAAATCTGGCCCACCACACCCTGTGCATAGACTGCAACCTTTAGGCCTGTGAGAAATCAATGTCTCTCACTTATAAACTGCCAGGCTAAAGAAACTCAAGCTGACAGTTAAGACTTGTATAAAACCAAACATTGGCCCACCAACCCTGCACTGAAAGCAAGGCCTTTATCTCATGTCCCCTCTTAAAAGCCCCTCTGACAAGGATCCTCTACCTAAGGGTCAACCTGAGACAAACTGTGCCTACACAGGAGCCAGGAGGTGGATCTCTGTGGCATGGGGTTGCTCAACCATCAGAGGAGAGTTCTTTGATATACTATTACCAGAACTTCCCTCAGTTCTGCTCAAGAGATGAGAGTCTGCAGATAGGAGGTAAAGAGAACCCTGCAGGCCAGGGTAGGGAAAGGGAGCACTCATGTCTTAGGAGAAGAGAGAGTAGTAGCCTCTACAACAATGAGATTGAGTTTCCCTCCCACAAGTCAGAACCTCCTTGGGAACCCTTTACCAAGGTCAGAACAGGTTTAAGAAGTCATCATCCTAGGCCTATAGCCCCTCCCAACATGTGCCAATGACAGGTAAGTTATTCCAATTGCCAGTCCCTGTGTAGCTGGAGTCAGAAACATCTATTCTACAGAAAGTATTGATCAGTGGGCAAGTGTTTATTATGGCCCTCCTTCATTACCTCAGAGGTAGGTTCAGGGCTGGCTACATGCACTGAAATGACATTTGTTGCATGCTTAAATACATAACGATGTATAAATTCACATTTCCAGTCTTGGCAAGAAAACACTACAGCCAGTGGCTCCCACCTAAGTGTTACAGAAAGAGTCCTGGCTTCCCCAGGAAGACTGCTAAAGCCAGGTCTCCCTAAGACAGAAGCCAGCCCAGGCTCTACACTATGGGAAGTCACCTGACAAAGGTCTTAGTAGAAGAGCAAAGTCTATTTGAGGTTACTAATATTTTGGTAGCTAATCCACAGGAAGGATATTTACAAAGTCTCTCTGAATTACTACACCAGAGTGCCCCCAAGGTACAGAGACTCCTCCAATGTCTCCAAAGCCCTAATGGTCTTTTCAGTGTGGCTCAAACAAGCCCTTGTAGGCCTTAGCACTCACATCAGTTCTCCATGTGAAGCCAATCTCCAATTTGGCGGCAAGCGCAGGCCTTACCCAAATATGCCCTGAGGCCTGTAAATGAAGCAGATGGTCACTGTTCGTACAGAGCTGAACACATCCTGACTGCCACCCTTCCCAGGCTACCAAGCTTCTAGTGGTACCACTGTTGACTCTGATATCAAGCAAAAGAGAGACTGTGAAGGAGAGCCATGGGAGGCTGTAGGGACCTGAGGACGGAGCATATTCTCCTGCCCTGCCCTTACCATGCAGCCAAGGCCAGCACACAATGCCTCCATTTTGTAAGCAGTCCACAGAGGCCACACAGCAACTTCCTCCTCAGTACCTCCTATACACCCAGAAGCAGGGCTTTCCAAGCAGTCTATGGTGTGAGAATTCACAATGCTTTTGGAGGGAAAGTCTCTGGGTCTTGTTCTTGTTGGCCTCTTGCAGAGAAGGTGGCCCAGGTTGGAGCTACAGTCAGGCAGAGCAAGTAGAAGCAGTGCCAAGTTCACCCCCACCCCCATAGCTTCCATGGTGCAGAATGGGAAGAATCTTCAGAAAATAGCCATTTAAAAACCCACTGATGCCCACTCACCTCAGGTAACCTGGCTGCACCAGTGGAGTCAGAGCTAGCATATGCTCTGAGACAGCTCCAAGCTTAGGACCAGTCCCATTGCAAAGAAATGCTCCCCACTCCACTCCCAGGCAACACTAATATGTATAGCGGTTCTGAGAAGACATTACAAGGCTAAGAGCAACAATGTACAGCACATGGTGTGCACGTGACCACACAGCCACTATTGAACCTTAGGTTGAGTCCACCCAGAGCCAGAGCTTAGCTGTCCCAGCAGGGAAAAGTCAAAGAAGAGTCAGGAAAAGTATGAATACCTACATGGACTCATATCTGCTATGCTATGGATACTTCCAGGAAGTGTCCTTTTGTCCTCTCTGGTCCTGTACCAGGAGGGCAGCTTAGTCTGACAGAAGCCATGGAGGCCACCCTAATGCTTTGACCTGACCCATGGTGTTATGAAGTATCCCTCAAGGACTGAATGTCCTGAGCCAAAAGGAAAGCCTTTCAAGGCTCCAGATGCTTAAACTCAGGTCAGCCTAGAGAGCAGTGACCTGTGTGAGCTCTGTATTAGGTGTAGACGGGCTCTGTGGGCTGACAGGCACCATGGGTAGGTCCACGCCTAGTCATGCCGGCCGTGGTACTGTCTCAGAGGTCTTGCAGGGAAGACCCACATCTTTGGCAATGCTGCGCACGCGGTCAGAAACCTGCATCTCCCGGTGCAGGGTTGAAGCACAGCAAAACTTGCGGAAGCAGGCTTTGAAGTTCTCATCCAAAAAAGCATAGAGTATGGGGTTGAGACAACTGTTCACATAGCCTAGGGCTGTACAGAAGCGCAAGATGGCCACTGTGGTCTCACTACCTGGCTGAACACCCAGTCCTTGGACCAGCACAAACACCTGTACAGGTGTCCAACAGCCCACAAACACAGCCACTACCACCAGCACCAATCGTGTGATACGCCGCAGGTTCCGGTCCTTCTCTCTGGAGCCTGAGAGGAGACGGACGCCACGGAGCCGCCGAATCATGAGGCTATAGCAGACAGAGATGATCAGCACGGGGATGATGAAGGAAAAGAGGAAGATGCAGATGGCAAACACAGGGCCCCAGTAGTCTTGGGGGGCAGGAATCTCCACCAGACATTCAATCTCTGCAGAAGAGAAATCGGGTCAGAGGATCCACCAAGAGACATAGGGAGCCTGGTCTGGGGGTGGGGCTACCCACTGACCTTCATCCTCCACCTGTGCTGATCCCATGACGGCAACAGGAACACCAACTACTGAAGCCAGAGCCCATATAGCCACATTAACAGCCTGGGCTTTGCTGGATGTACGAACATCAAGGGCACGGATAGGGTGGCAGATGGCCACATAGCGGTCTACACTCATGGCAGTCAGAGTGAAAGTGCTGGTGAACATGTTGTAGTAGTCAATGGCAATGACAGTCTTGCACAGTGCATTTCCAAATGGCCAGAAGCCCAGCAGGATGTCTGTGCCCTGGAAGGGCAGTGTCAGCAGGACCAGGGTATCAGCCAGGGCCAGGTTAAAGATGTAAATGTTGGTAGCTGTCTTCATCTTGGTGTGCCTGCAGAAGACAGGGAGAAGAAAGGCTTCATTTGCCACTTTGGCTGACCTGGCAGCAAAGTGGCCATTATGAGGGATACCATCTCTGAATCTCTCAATACCAAGAGTCTCCAAGAAAGAATGTTAAATGGCAAGTCCTGGACCCCACCCAAGACCTACTTAGACTGGGGCAAACTAAATTCCTCAAGTGATTTTAACATCTACAAAAAGGTTCCAAGACTTAAAGATGAACTGCCATGGAAAAAGTTGGGGCATGAGGGTTACTAAAGCACGCATCTGACCTGAATGTGAAATAGGGTGAAGAATCATAAGAGAAAGAGCCCGTCTTCTCTCCTGAGTCTCCCTTAAGACCCTTCTCAGAAGTTTTGTAGGACCATGTCTGTAAAAGTTTATCAAAGGCCTTCAGAGTACGCACTGTTGTCTAGTAATGAAAATGGGAAATAGTGAGCTGACCAAGTGGCTCAGCAAGTAAAGGCACTTACTGCTAAGTCTGACCTTGGAACCACATGTTGGAAGGAGAGAACCAATTCCCACAAGTTATTCTACACAGGCAGGCACACACACATGCACATACAGACAAATAAATAAATATAGTGATTTTTCATTTTAAAAAGAAAATAGGAAATGGTAATAGGAACAGGAGGTAAGCTAATTGTGTCTGATTGTATCCCAACACCTGGAATAGTGCTAGGAATATTGTAAATGATTAATAAATATTTGTGGAATAAATTAATGTTTATGATAGAGATGGGGAAGGGTGATTATGATGGTGATAATGAGAATAGTGGTGATGATGGTGGTTATGGTAGTGACGATGGCAGTTATGTTGATGATTGGTAAGGATGATGGTGGTGGTAATGATGTGGTGATGATGGTAGTTATGACAGTATGGTGGTTATGATGGTAATGGGGTGGTTATGGTAGTAATGATGGTGATGACAGCAATGGTGACAAAAATGATGGTAGTGATGATGGTGGTGATGATGGTTATGGTGGTAGCACTAGAGATGACAATATTCCATGTCAGTTGGAATCTGGAATTTATCTGCCTTTTAGAGACAGACTAAGCACAGAGGCCTTAATTACAATAAAAAAAACAATGACAATGATAATGGTAGATATTTCAGCTAAGTTCTTCACATAGATTTTCTCTCATTTGAAATTCACAAAAAAATGATATTTTGATTCCCTACTCTGTAGAGAAGGAAGCTGAGGCTCATAGGAGCTATGTAGCTTTCATAAGCCCTTAGAGTTGCTAAAATGCAGATTGGGACTCAGACCAGGTATTTCTGGCTCCTGGCATCCACTCCACTCAAGCATACTGTGTACTGCTTCCTGAGGCATTGTAGCCACAGCAGTTCCTAAGACTGGCTCTCTCTGGGGATGCTGGTGGACAAGATGACTTTCCTTGTCCGCACTACTGTAGGAAATGTCTCTGGGAGTTTAATGCTCCAACACAGAAGAGAAATGCAGGAGAGAAGTGCTGATGACAGGAAGGGTGATCAAAGCTGTGAAGAGCCCCAGGATGCTGAACTTTTGGTCCAAGGTACGTCCTCTACCCATGGAGGGTCATGTGGGTCACAGAACAGACTCCCAGGGTTCTCTGCTGGAAGGTACTACTGGGAAGGCCTTCCTACCTATTGTCTAATCATACATCACATATATGCACACACATGTGTGCACATACACATACACATGGCTACATGATCCGTATTTTCCACTTTCCAGATAAGGAAAACAAGGCCCATTGGGAGCAGAGTTTGCTCAGAGACACTCAGAGGATGGTGATGGAGGTAGAGCATAGATATTCCACTGCCCTGGCCCTGTCCTACCTTCACCCTGACACTCTCAAGATGTACCATGAGCACTTTCTTCAGAGTCATCTTTTTTTTTTTTATCTTTTTTTCTCCCTGTAGCCCCAGCTGACCTGGAACTCACTATGTAGACCAGGCTGGCCCTGAATTCACAGAGATCTGCTTGCCTCTGCCTCCTGAGTGCTGGGATTAAAGGCATGCGCCACCACACCTGGCTCAGAGTCATCTCTTTC